GATAATGGTATATTCAACTCTATGAGCATACAATTGATTTAGTAGCAGAGTCTTTCATTGGGGGTGTATATGTTTACTAAGGTTATATCACATATACTCCAGTATAAGCTAAGTATTTTTCAGCACATTTAAAAAAATCATTTTACTGGGGGCTCGTACAGCTCTAATCACAATCCATACACACATCCATTGTGTCAAGCACATTTGTGGATTTGTTGCCATCATCATTCTCAAAACATTTGCTTTCTACTTGAGCCCTTGGTATCAGTTCCTCATTTTCCCCTCCCTCCCCACTACCCCCTCCCTAATGAACCCTTGATAAATTATAAATTATTATTATTTTGTCATGTCTTACACTGTCCAACATCTCCCTTCACCCACTTTTCGGTTGTCTGTCCCCCAGAGAAAAGGTTATATGTAGATCCTTGTAATTGGTTCCCCCTTTCTACCCCACCTTCCCTCCACCCTCCAGGTATCGCCACTCTCACCACTGATCCTGAAGAGATCATCTATCCTAGATTTCTGTGTTTCCAGTTCCTCTCTGTACCAGTGCACATCCTCTGGTCTAGCTGGATTTGTAAGGTAGAATTGGGACCATGATAGTGGGGAGGGGGAGGAAGCATTTGTATGTTTCATCATTGCTACGTTGCACCCTGCCTGGCTCATCTCCTTCCCGCTACCCTTCTGTAATGGGATGTCCAGTTGCCTACAATGGGCTTTGGCTCCCTAATCTGCACTTCCCCTCATTCACAATTATATGATATTTTATACCTGATCCTTTTGACACCTTCTAATCACATAGGCTGGTGTGCTTCTTCCATGTGGGCTTTGTTGCTTCTGGGCTAGATGGCTGCTTGTTTACATGCAAGTCTTATAACTCCAGATGCTATATCTTTAGATAGCCAGGCACCATCAGCTTTCTTCACTAGGTTTGGTTATGCACACATTTGTCTTCAGCAATCATGTGAGGAGGGTAAACATCATCGAATGGCAATTAATAGAACAAAGTGTTCTTGCATTGAAGGAGTACTTGAGTGGAGACCCAATGTCCATCTGCTACATTACTAGTAAACCTATAAATATATGCACATAGATCTATTTCCCCATCCTCATATATAAATATAATTACATATGTACATGCCTGTATTTAGACTTCTATAAATACCCTTCAGCAAACGATTTTATCTGTATATATATTTTTTCTCTTCTTTTTCCAGGATCCTGATGAGCTATCGGTTGCTTCTCTTGATAGTGTCCTACATTAATTCTTGAGTTTTTGTTGGTTTTTTTGTTGTTGTTGGTTGTTTCTTTTGTGGATTGTACTCAGAGTGACTGACTTCAAGCTCACTGATTCAATTTTCCTCTTCTTCTATTGTATTCCTCAGATCTATTACTATGTTGCCTAATTTTATTATCTCATTTTTTATCTTCTCAGATTCCATTTGCTTTAAGAATTTTAGTTATCCCATTCCTTCTATTGTGTATGAGTGTGCCCCACATCTCCTGAAAGGGCTTAAATTTATTCTTCTGAATTCTGTTTCTGCTAATTCCAGGGCATGTTCAGAGTAGTACATTGGGCTATGGTGATTTTCAGTTGTTTGTGTTAGTTTTTCCTGATTTGAGGGATATTCCGTGATTGACTGTTGTGTCCTTGGCATTGTGGTACAGCTACTAGTGGCATGTGAGCTATTGGATAGTGTAGAGGTAGTTGACTCTGTCTAGTAACATGGGAGAGGTCTAAGAAGAGCTGGAAAATATATGGTGTGAATGCAGAAGAGGGGAGAGAAATGAGTAAGTAAGAACAGTTGAAGGGAAGAAGAGCGAGACTAAAATAATGGTAGTAATAATAAGCAGCTCTCTGGATAAACCACAAGATTTGTAAAAACAATTGGAAAATGCATTTTAAGAGAAGTAACCAGAATTAATAAGTTCCCTGGAAATATATACCAAAGGAAAAAGAGAAGAAAAGAGTAATGGGGATAAGGATAGATTTCCATGGAAAAGGAGAGATAAAAGAGGCAAAAGACTTCAGTGCTGCTTGGAAGTGGGTACTAAAGATCTTTTGCTATGGTTCTCTTGCATGAATGTGGGATCTCTGCACTGAGGGGTGTATGTGGGGAAATTTATTGTACCAACCTGGACAATCTCTCTAATGTTCCAACAGTAATATGTGAGATTAATCAGGTTGCAGTTTGGTTGGAGGGCAAAGAGATAAATGGCCCTTCAAGGCCCACCACTGTCTTTCTTGCTTTCTGATGATCAGACCAGCATGCTGCTTCTTTAGCTAGTTCTCTGCCGCAACCTGTGTGCTACATTATCTCTGGGCAAGCCAACCCTTGGTATGTGTCACTAAAACTTGAGGTTCCTTTGAAATCTGCTTCACCACACTGCTGGTGTGTACATCACTTGAGCTTGAGGCTAGTGGGCCCTGTTGCCTTCCATTGCTTGAGTTCAACAACCCATCTGGGTCTGCTTTGCTAAGCTCCCGTGCTACTGACTGTTGCTGACTGTTTTTGACCCACCCTGTTGTCTGCCATGTGTGGGAAGACTCTGCCTGTCTTGCCTGAATGAGTTGAACTACTTCCAGTATATTAACTGTTCCAAGAAAGTGAGTTGGACTGAGCCCTCTGTACTGCGGTATGGATTAATTAGCTGTTACATTCCTTCTCACTGTATAAACCTATCTATCATCTATCTATCTAATTAATCATAAGTGTCCTCATTTTGGTTTTCTAAAGAACCCTGCCTAACACAGTGGGTGTGCAGGTTGTTACTAAGAGGCTCAAAGATATCTTTTTAAGGATAAAGTGCTACTAACCCATGCACATATGTAGGTGAAAGCTTTACAATGAATAAGAACGTTTGTAGAAGAATTTATACCTTTGAATTATGATATTGATGAAGAGTGCTGAATATACCATGTCTTATAAGTACAGCCAGAATATTCCTTACTTACTATCATCAAATTGATACTGACATATAAATATACTCTACAAGGTTTCCAAGTATGTAAACATGTACAAGTAGACAATGTCATCTTTCTTTCACAAAGCAGCTGATGGATTTGAACTGCTGACCTTATAGTTAGCAGTCCAAAATTCACCTGACTGCATTACTAGGGCTTCTTAGAGTCCTTCTTTTTTTTTTGAGACTTAGTCTAAAGCACTTTGGATATATTATCAAGAGGGACCAATTCATGGACAAGGACTTCATATTTGGTACAGTTGAGGGTTGGAGAAAAACATGATAACCTTCAAAAAGATAGATTGACTCAACAATGAGCATACTAATAGTGACAGGATGGCACAAGAGCACACAGCATTCTCTTGTTATAAGTAGGAATCAATTCCAAGGTACTTAACAGCGAAAGTATTTACAAGGGGGTACCCCCCTCCTAAAAGATGTATTTTTTCCCCAAAGCTTTGTACTTATATAATTTTTCACAAATCAACCTTATCATTTTCAAAGTACTCTCCATTGCATTTAATACATTTGTCAAATTTGCTATTCCATCTTGGAAACATTTTTCAAACACATCTGTTTATTTGGTTGACAGCACACCCTCAGTTTTTTTCTTCACTTCTTCTCAGTCATCAAATCGCTGTCTTGTCATGTTTCTCTTCATTCATAGAAACAAAAGGAAGTCACATGGAGTGTGGTATGGTGAGTAAGGTGTGTTAGGCAAGCGAGGCATGCTATTTTTCACCAAAACCTGGTGCACTGAGATGACTGCGTGAGCAGCTGCACTGTCACAGTGGCAAAACTAGTTCCCCGTCTGCCACAAATCAGGTCTCTTTTTTTTGTCACACACTGTTATGCTATCTTTTCAGAACCTCTAAATAGAAAGCTTGATTAACCATCTGACCTGGTGGAATGAACTCCCCAAGTGTACTACGAGAGTTGCTATTTTGTCCATTCAGGGAATTGACGGATGTCCAGAACAAGGATTGTCATCAATCAACATTTGACCTTTTTCTAAATGAAAAAAACTTGAGTTTTTCCCATAGTGCTGTCCTTGTAAGCTGTGTTCAACATCACAACAGTTTCTGTGGCATTTTTCCTGAACAGGAAATAAAATTTCACAGCCGCATGCTGTTCCCTTAATTCAGCCATCACTAAAAAACGAGGTTTCAGTGTAACTGCTTTTAGGAAAAAATTCACTGCAAACAGTGAGAACCTTCCCAGACGACGCCATTGAGTACACTAACTTGGAGCAAGTTGCCCAAAGGTCGCTTAACAGGATAAGTGCATACTAAGAAAGCTCAGCCCAGCAGAGGTGTTTTCCAAATTTTTTGGAGGGGAGGATACCCCCTTATACTTCAATTATGCAATATTACTTAAAGTTTAGAACTCTACCGCAGATATTAAATCATCTCAAGATTATTGTATCCTTCTAATTGCTTGAATAATTTTGCACACATTTCCACCAGTTGTAATATTAACAAGTTAGAAATAAGCAATGTAATAAAACCAAACTCAATGCCACAGAGCCAATTCTGACCCACTGCAACCCTATAGGACAGAGTAGAACCACTCCTGAAGGTTTCTGAGAGCATAAATCTTTAAAGGAGTAGAGAGACTATCTTTATCTTGAGCAGCAGCTTGTGGTGTTAAATTGCTAGCCTTGTGGTTAACAGCTCACTGTGAAGCCTACCCACTACACCACCAGAGTTCCTTAAGGAATATAATATGCATATTAAGATAAATATTTTATAAGTATTAAGTATTTTCATAAAACCTTAAAGCAGAGTTTTTAAAATTTCGGGTTGTGATATGTTAATGTATTATGAAATCAATTTAGTTTATTAGGGTAATGTTTTAAAAAAGTCAAACAAAATAAAAATAGGCGACCAAACTTGGTAAAGTTGTGAAGCTTGCTTCAATTACACATTTAAATTATTTTACCGTAAAACGTGGGTTGCAGACTAAAACACTGATGAGGCACTGCGTATCAGAATAACTACCATAAACCACATTGCCCTTACAGGTGATCTAGGTACCTGACTGGTATCCACAGGAATTGGAGTAAAAGCTGCTTGTGTCAAGGAAACTGTTGGGCCCAACAGGTCCCGTATATATGTTCTTTCTTGCTTGTACTCCCGGCTGTGTTCCACTTTCAATTTTTCTTTGGGCAGAACAGCTTCATAACAAGGAGCATACCCAGGAGGAGGAAGGAATTTAAATTCTCCATGTCTTCCCCCAAGGAGAAAGCGAACCCTAAAAATATATATAGATCAGGGGCAGTTATGTTCTGGTGCACATAGGTTCCTAATCATCCAAACAAATAAATTACTAGTATAAAATTAACTTTATTAGAAGTCCTATCTCCTTCCCTTCACATCACCATCTCTTCAATTTAGAATCTAAAAGGTTCTAATCATAAAAAGGTAAAACAGGGTGGTGGCCTACTTGTCAAAAGAGGAAACCTATTTAATTTAGGTTAACAGACAGAGAAGTAAAAATGACTAAAATTATATACATAACATTTCTATGTGAATTTAGTACATGTTCTTAGCAATTCATCATGTAATGCTCCAGCAATTCATCATGTAATACCAAGAATCAACATAGAAAGAGCAGACATGTTCTATCAATATGCTTAAAATCAGATATTTGAGGAGGTAAAATCCGAAAGAGAAAGAGTCACTTTCCAGTGTTGATTTCCTAATAAATTCTTTATGGGTTAAACAAACAGGACTTCCATTTGCTGAAGAAGATAATCTTAAATATTTAGCAATTTAGCAACAAAACAGTCTCATTATGTTCATGCATAGTCATGATTCAAAATAGTTTATTCTGATGTCCAATAAACGACACTTTAAAAAAAACAGCTAAATGATCCATTTCTTGGGGCTCACTTAAAAATAATGAAAAATTTCTTTTTATCTGTAATTATTTTTACTAATTTGTGCTTTAGTTCAAGGATATTAAAATAAATGAAATGAAAAGTCGAATATACAAGTAAGAGTAAAACATATGAGGAAAAATTAAAACCTTCTAGACGTTTATAGAACAAAACATAATTCGTGTAAAGACACTAGAAAAGTTCACTGGTACATGGATAGCTAATATTGTATGATTATTCCATCCCTTCTTCAATATGGTACTTCTCTCACTAGGGAATACTTCTGTGAGTTTAATTATAATGAAAAATAACCATGATAAATGGATGGCCAGTGGTAATCAGTGTCATTTTTATAGGTAAATGTGTGTAAATGGTAGGTAAATGAATATAAATATTTGTATATAACGAAGTTTCCCCTTACTAAGAGACGCCTGCTTAGTAAACATTACAGAACTTTAATGAAAGAATGAATTATAAAAATCTTCATCTTGACTCGATAAGATAATTAATTAAGAGCAACACAGAGTAACATAGAAAGGAAACATCATGGAATTGGTTTGCAAGAATTTACCTGGCTTAACATACCTAATAGTAGACCCTGTGGATAAAATATTCAGTTTCCAGAGATGCTCTTCCTGGAAGGATCTTAGCTTTTTTTCAAAGGTAAAAGGCCTGGTGGGCTGATGATGCCCAGGAGTGTAACAAAGGTTAGGAAAGAAGTTGTGCTATGAAAGTGTGAGCTGTGAGAAAGAAACAGACCAGAAAAACAACCACAACTAAACAATAAAATACTCACTTTATGCCTGCAGAGAAACTAACAACTGGAAAGAAAAGGCCATCAATGTTGAAATTCTCAAACATCCCTTGAACAGGCTGGCCATTAATGCGGAAGGAGATGCTTGGAGCACTTAGATCTAAACAGCAACTAATGACATCATCAGTTCTTAACAGGTGTTGGTTTGGTGAGCTTACAGTACGAGCAATACAACCTATTGGGGGGAAACATTAAGGAAGTAATGCATTTCTATCTGAGGGTATCTTTGAAGCCAAAGTAAAAATTATGAGTAGGTATTAAAGTTCAATGTACAAAACTGAAATTGAATAATTGTTAATGCAAATTCATAGTATAGGATAAGCCCTTTAAAAAAAACATTTGTTTTTCAGGAGTCATGCTACAATCTTTGTCAAAAAATGAATCTTTTGATGAACAAATGAAATATACATGAAGATGGCTAGGATTTAATGCAGAAATAATCTTAGAGTAGAAATTCTAATAAATAATGTAAGAGGAAATGTGTCTACTAATTATATGACCACCAGAGAATTATTTAATCTGTTTGAAACTTAGTATTTAATAAACAGAAGACCAAGTAGCATTACTTTATAGAGTTGCTATGAAGATTAATATCCTGGTTTATAAGTAGCACAAAGTCTTAAACAGAACAGGTACTTCATAATGCTAGTTTCCCTTTCCCTTAATTTTTAGAATAATAAATCATCTTTCTGCTATAAATTAAAATATACAAAGCTAATGAAAGCAAATATTGTAATCATTCGCTCATGCATTGCTCATTGGGAGATAACCACATGTCAACTGCTTTGCTTTATTCTCAATTATATTTATTCCACAAGTAAGAAGATCTAGGTTAGCATCTTCATTACAGGAGAATAAATCTGTGGCAAGGAAAGGACCATTAATAAAGGTCATTTCAGCACTGCTTTGCTACTTAGCCTCATAGGAATTTGTTTCTCAGAGTACAGTGAAATCAAAGAGGTGAAGGTCTCCTAAACCCATTCATGAACAAGGAGCACCCTCCCCAAGAACCAGAACAATAGTAGGTTTCATGACACAATCTTTGTTTTTGGTTTTTAAGAAAAATTTCTATTACAATTAAAAGTTTGCCCAATAGCCCCCATAAACACATCAGGTTAACAGCAAAGACTCTTACTTGTGCCAGTCAGAATCTGATACCAATTAAATGATGGCAGCTTTGCCAATAAAGGATATATTCTTCCATGGCTAGGTAGGGAGACCACCACAGCCAACAGGTCCCAAAGATACATGGACTGTGGATTTTTATATCATCTTTCCATTTTCTGTCGAGTTTTAGAAGTAGCACATTTGAGGTATCAGGTATTTAATTGTGAAATAAATATAATTGAAAATCAAAACAGACTATTTGGCAGATAATAGAGAATGTGTACATTTTGTATTTTATCAATATTCAAATCTGCAAGTAATAAATTCACTATCAAACAGCTGTTCTAGAATATTAACTATAGTAAAACTATTTTTAATAACAAATAAAAGAAATGCAGCTCACAGAGAAATATCTAGCCCCTTAATTGTATATAAAAGTTACAAAGATGTAACTAAATGCATAAACATTTAGTATCATCCAAAACTATTTCCCACTTTGAAGGATATTATTATGCTAATTTTAATAACTATTTAAAATTATCTGCATCAATTGTTTTGCATTGTCTAAAATAGATTACTAGGTGAGATCATTAGTGAACAACCTAATGCTTATATTTTAAATGCCATCCACAATCTGTAAATAATTGATAAGAATTTTTCAATTTGCATTTATACATACTCACATCAAACTAAAACAAACTACAATTCTATTCTCTGCATTATCTAAAAGGAAGATAGAGCAGGGCTGGGATTAAGAGTGAGTCCAAAGTCCATTCATATAGCTATGGTTTATATATGCCCCTGGTTCATTTTGGAGACAGGATTATCATTTTATTGGAGAACATTATAAATCATTTTCATGGGGCATAATTCTATTGATAGCATCAGTAGTTTAGTCAGTGGCATAGGATTCAGAACACTATTGAGAAAAGGAAATCATAGAAATATAGGCCAGTTTTTAGACCACAATATTTGCATTGTTGACTTGTACGGATTAAAAGCTTAATTGACTGGCCAAAATTTACACTAAGAATGAGGGCTGTGAATAAGGAAAATTTTCAATAATCCTTGTTCACAAAGGCAGAACCATGCTTGCCAGAATAATACATGTCATAAAAAAGCAAAGAGAGCATTAAAATAGTGCATATATGTAGTTCTGTAACACCATATATTGGGCACAAAGGAAGAAATCCAAACCAAAGTCTAGAGAATTTGCCGTGGGTCATTAAGGTATGGATAGAAGAAACTAGGCCAAAATGTCCAATTAGAAATATCTTATTAGACATATTGTCCCCTTGGGGTCTATATAAGTAATGTTAAGCATTTTTCTAAATGGCAGGGTACCCCACCTGGTTTATCAAAGAAACCTTCTCTGAGACAAGAATGCAGTAGTTACATAATCTGGTGTCAATTTAGGACTTGAGAGGATTAAGAGTGAAGGGGTGGAGTCTAGTCTATCAATTGGGTTATAGCTAATGAGGCCTCTGTGGGCATGGCCTTCCCCTGAAGATTCTGAGAATTCCTGTATTTACTCCTCTGAGGTAGAGGACACGCTCTCTCTCTGCTCAAACCCTGAGAGATGCATTACTGACAAGACATATGGCACTACACTGATAGACTCTATGCCCTGGGAACTGGAGGAACTACGTGGAAACCTCTGCCAGCACAAAGGTACTTCTACCACCACTGGATCCACAAGACTTTACACCCACTGGCCTCTAATCTCCCTGCATTCAGCATCATTTCATGTGTTTCCTGAGTCTGAAGAGGACTTTATAGATTGGTATTGGACATATGGGCTAATATCGGATTTATGGACTTGATCTGGACTGGGCTGGGATGTTTTCAACTGTTCTAGTATATAAAGCTCTTTCCTATACATACAAGAGTGTCCATGAATTTGTTTCTCTAATCTACCTAGACTAACACACTCTCTCACTTTGCCCTCCACCTCTTTTCTTGAAATTCCAGTGGGGTTCACTATTTACTCTTGGAGGAGTGTATGTTTAATTGGGGTGAGTGTAGAATATAATTGGTTCTTGTGACATAGTCCTTGAAAATGTTCAATCTCAAGGTGAGATCACTGAAGATAAGAGTGTTATAGAAAAATGTGGTAACGCAATGGTGCCCAGCTATCAGAAAGACGAGTATCTGGCGTCTTCAAGGCTTGTTTCAAAGTAAACAGTCATTAAAGCGGTGGTTCTCAACCTTCCAAATGCCACAACCCTTTAATATTGTTCCTCATGTTGTGAAGACTCCCAACCATAAAATTATTTTTGTTGCTACTTCATAACTGTAATTTTGGTACTGTTATGAATCGGGTGACCCCCATGAAAGGGTCACCAAAGGGGTGGTGACCCACAGGTTGAGAACCACTGCATTAAAGGGAGGCATCAATTAAGTTCACACAGAAGGAGCACACCAGCCTATGTGATCCAAGGATTATAAATAATTCAATCATAACCAAGAAGAGAAATTTGTATCAGAACTTAAATTCTAAATACCCAGTGTAGTAGGTACATAATGTGTTGTCAATTTGAGACTTATGAGTGAAGGGGTGGAATTTAGCCTGTCAATCAGGTTGCACCTTGATGATCTCATTTGGAGGTACTAAGGATATAAATAGCTCACTAGAGGTGGGACACACTACCTGGGAGACATTCCTGATGACAAGCCTGATGCTGATGCATCCAGAGCCCTGGAGCTGGAGGAGCCACATGGAGACCCACACCAGCGCTGAGATGCTTTCACCACCACTGGATCCACAGTACATTCTACCCACTGGTGTGTGATCTTCCTGCATTCCTGGTCACTGCATGGCTGCATGAGTCTAAAGAGGAATTTAGGAACTAGTATCGACATATGTGGTGTATCAGACTTATGGACTTGATCTGGACTGGGCTAGGATGCTTTCTTAATGTACAATTGCACCTTGTTTTTTTTTAATTAAAAGATCATTTTATTGGGGGCTCTTACAACTCTTATTACAATCGATACATCAATTGTATCTGGCATATTTGTACATATGTTGCCATCATTCTTCTCTAGATATTTACCTTCTATTGAACCCTTGGTTATCAGCTCTTGTTTTTATCCCTTACCCCTTGTGACCCCTTGATAGATTATAAATTATTATTATTTTCATATCTCACACCGACCACTGTCTCCCTTCCTCCCATGGTTTCTGTTGCTCTTCCCCCTGGGGGTGTGTGGTTATGTGTCAATCATTGTGATCAGTTCCCCCTTTCTCGCCTTCTCTCCCCCTCCTTCCCCCTACCCTTCTGGTATCACTATTCCCATTCCTGCTCCTGGATTCTGTGTGTTGTGAGCTTTTGTCTCTTATCTAAACCTGTGTACATGCTCCGGTCTAGTCTAGAGTGAGAAGCAGCACTGGGGTCATGATAGTGGGCATGAGGGAGCCTCAAGGTACCACAGGAATATTGTGTGCTCCATCAGTACTTTACTTCACCCTGGCTGACTCATCCCTTCCCTGCAACCTCTCTGTGGGAGGATGTTCCATTGTCTACAGATGGGCTTTGGGTCTCTGCTCTGAAAGCCCTTGCTCTCAACAAAAGTTTTTGGTTTTTGTTTGTTTGTTAGTTATGGGTCTTCTAATGCCTGTTACTCGGTCCCGATGACACCTCATGATCACACCGCCTGGTGTGCTTCTTCTATGTGGGCTTCTTAGTTCACTGTTGGATGGTGACTTTTTTAACTACAAGCCTTTAAGACCCAAGACACTATATATTTTAATAGCCGGGCACCATCTACTTTCTTCACCACATTTTCTTCTAGAATTATTTGATAGGCTCAAGTTCAAATAACTTGATAGTTATTAAGTTATGGTTATGGTCAAATAACTCAGGCTCATATGATGAAGAAGCATATGAATGTTCTAGATGCAGCAAAAAGCAGAAGAGTTTTGCCAGAAAGTCCATATATATTGTAAACAAGTCGTGTCTTCAAGGAAATAATCTTCTGATTGATTTGTTGATCATAGCAGTTCTCATTATAAAAATTATTAAATCTCATCAAGGAGAGTGACCATATCACATTGAGAATCATGGCCCAACCAAATTGATACAGAACTTCTATCACATTACGCAAGTATGAACTTCAACTATGCTAGCAATGCTTTTCTAAATTACTATTTAATACTTTCTATAGTAATTTCATTAATTAAAATTTAAAATTATTATTTAAAAGCATAGAAAGCTTGATTATACAAAAATATCAAAATGTGAAGTTATTGTTTCTCAACATATCCTCCATTTAGGCCTATATATTTTTTAGACTATTTTACTATGAAGGTGTACAGAGTAAATCAGTTTTCCATTAAAAAATTCGCAGGAATTTGCTTCATGTCTTTGACAGCAATTTCCACAATGTAACGTCACGTATCCCACTTCCTCCCTGTGCTATGTTCCTTTCCTTGTTCTTTCTTAATTCTTCCTGAATTCTGAACTTTGTGGTTCAGCAAATAATGCCTTTTTAAGATGTGTGGCCCTAATGCTACTGTTCACCATATAGACCTGTCAATTGTTTAACTAAAATTCAGCCATGGCTGAGTTCTATTCTAAGTATGGCCATAGTCTCAGGCTCTATCAGACCATTAAGCTTGGTCATGTAGCAATATTTTGACTTACCTTCATATGTATATGTATGTACACACACACACACACACACACAGAGGAAAGGGCTTCAAAATTTTTGTGGAAAAATTCATGTTCTTTTTATTCTATTTTTCCATGTACTTTTGAAACTCCCCACTTGTGTAAGTGGGTATGTATATATTCACACACATATATATGTATCAAAATTAAAATATTAAATATATATGAACCCAAAAAACTCTTGAAACTAAAGGCAACACAAGTACAAGGGAGCTTCAATATGTTCATAGAAAAACAAAGGGAAAATATATTGGAATTTTCCATGAACTTACTTAGGCCCTCTGTAATGAGATTATGTCATGTAATTGAGATAATTTAAACCAATGACTGAAAGATTATGGGTAATATCAATAATACACAAATTTTACCCCATTTTCTTTTGGTATGTTTTCTGAAATTAATATTCTTTGTCCCTTGTTGGACAATAAAAATATGTACTGTGGGAATGAGAAATACATTCTCTGACTGCAGCTGTGTCCCTACAGTCCAAGAAAGTATACACTAAGACTACCCTGACTCCCAAACATATGCCCCAGTGCAGATGAAATGTTCAAACATCATTAATCTTTTCTATATAGCTAAGCTTTTGTTATTAAGTGGTAAAATTCAATAAATATCATCAAATTTACAGCTATATTAAATGCTTTTATTTATATACTCATTACCATTAACTCATAGATTTCTTCAATTTAGTTTTAATTGTATTGATAATCTATTAGGAATACAAAGCACTAATAAATAATGTCATCTGTAGGTTATAAAAAAACAAAGTATAACTCTTAATAATGTAAAGTGATGTTCTGAATTTACTATTCATTAAGTGTTTTATGGAAGATACCAAGGTCACATAAGGACTAGATTCTAAAAGCAAATTTATCAATATAGCATATTTCTCAAGAATCTATCTAAAATCCATCAACATAATCAAAAGCTAAGATTTTATTTGTAGACCACTAGAATACATCTCTTCATAAATCAGAGAACAGATTATTATATTTTATTTGTCACACTCAGCTGATAGCTGCTAATTGGTGAAATAAAGTTCACACCGATTTTTTTAAATTCTATGAGCCAAACATTTTAAGTTTCTGCATTAACTATGACTCCTAACATTACATTTCACCCATTTTCCACATTATATTATCTGGCAAGAAGTTTTACATTGCCTATGTCTTCAATTATTTGCAAGAGTTTGCTTTTAGTTCATTTAAAGTTGGAAACTTAAGTTCCACACAAAACTAATCAATATAAGTAAGAAACAAATACTTTTTCTGGCTCATTATAATGTACCCTTAAAAATATTATTCATAAGTAACATAATACTTTGGAATCATAATATAATTGTTACTGTCTTCTTCCCTGTAGTGAAATTTCACTTTTGTCCAAAATAAGCAGCATCATAAACTTTCAGAAATGTAAAAGAAGGGCAAAGGATTCTCTTTTAGAATTTTGTGAAAGAAAATAGGCCACATTTACCTGACCAGAGATGAAGTCCATCAAATCCGTAGGAGAACAGGTCATCTCCAACACCATTTCCACCCCACTCTTCACCACCTCCTGGGTAGGGAGAGTACCCTTCAGTGGAAGCCCAGCCCACTCGAAGGTGTGTCGCTTCTGCTGTCACAAATGGTTCAGTGTGATCCACCATCAGTTCATAGTACCATTTTTTATATTGAGCAGACCCTTCGCTGACGCCCAGAAAAATATTAGGCCTCATGCTTTAAAGAGATATGAACATCATATGAGACAAGACGAGATAACCTTTTCTCAATTTTCATCTCATTATTTTGAACATTAGCCTTGCTGTTTTAAAGATGTGATTTTTTTTTAAAAGAAAAAAAAACTCAAACCAGATGTCATCATGTCAGTTCTAACTCATGGTGTTCTGGTGTATGCTAGAGTAGTTTTCAATGATTTTGCAGAAGCAGATAACAGGCATCTTCCAAGGTGTCTTTGGGTAAACTCATACTGCCAACTTTTGTTACAAGCAGTTGAATATTTAAACATTTGTACCACCCAGGGACTCCATTATGAAATATGTTTCCATAAATTCTATAAAATCATTAAAACAACCACTAAAATTACATGCAGTAGTATCCTACATTAGGGCTAACATTTAGTTATAGTGTTTGCTTTATGGATTACTTGGCAATAATACTCAAAGATCTATTTTTTTCTTAATTACTGTATTGATCAAATTGAAGTCATAAAATGAGACAACTAGTACAGTAGAAATATTTCTAGGCTAAATATCCATTTATTTAAATATCCATACACACAGTAAAAGGTTGAGGTAGGTCAGGTTAATGTGGGAGCCAATATGCCTGTCCTCTGTGTCATTCTCAATGCCTCATTGTAAACAAAAGAACTTTCAGTAAAATTTAGTTGCATTTTATGATGGGACTTACACCTTTGGTAACAACATGATTAATGCCTCAATAGATATTATTCATTAATAGTAGCTATATAACATAAAGAAGCAGCAAGAAAGTATTAAATAAATCCTGTTAAGTACAAATCCACAAGATAGAATATTCACCAAATTCTCATTTAATGTAATCATACAAGAAAAGTATCAGCTATATCCTGGAATAATACTATCGTGAAATTATTACTATCATTCAGAACATGTTGTTAACTATAAGCAATTTTTTTTGTAGAAAAAAATCAGAGCGGTATGATGTTTATGAGCTAAGTCTCTTTAGTTAGCTAGATCTGAGTTCTATTTGCAGGTCTAGGTAGTAATTTATAAAATGTGGAAAAGAATAGTACCTAGAAAAAATACAAACTTAAACAGTGCATGTACATGCAAACACTTGGCAAACTGGCTGGCATGTTAAACACCTTGGGAAGAAGTTATAATTCACCAATATATGAATAGAAATACCTGGCTCTATATATTTATTTGGGGGAAAGTGCATATTCTTCTTGATTATCTAATACTATGATTATGTAGCACTATTATTAACTCATCTAATTGGAAGAAAAAATACACTAATTGAAATTATATAAAATATCCTAATACATTTTAAATAAGCTATATTACAGCATAAATATAGAGACAGAATGTATATTCTTCTGCTGTGCTACATATTTGGAGATGCTCTCTGGATTTACCTGCTGACATGATTCACAAGACGTGTCTGTAATAACAGATCTCTTCCTGGTAGAAGATTGTCACAAATGAGATGCTGGTTAGAACGAACTGCAACTCCATGGCAAACACAGAGAGAACACAAGACATCCAGAACCTAAGAGAGAACAAATTCAAGTTGACTTCAATTCTGCTTTCAGATTCAAGCACAGGCTGTACTTTTCAAAAAGCAAGAATGTTATCTCTCATTAATTTAAACCATTTATTTTAACATTATACCAATATGCTCAATGATTTCCCTGCATACCCAAATTGAGAACTCTTCATTCTCTCCTTGATGTTACAAATAAGCACTAATTAGCAATGCATGATTTAAATTAACAGACCACAACATTCATAAAAATGGACACATTTTTTTAAAAAGCTGTTTTATTTAAAAAACATATCCAGAATTATTTTAGATTTCATGTAATGTCAATGAAATGGTTCACTTACTTTGTGATTTCTTCCATGCTTGTCCAACAGTGAGATAATAGATTTAATATGTCCTTCTTTGATAATATTTAGAGCTTCAGGACTTTCTACTAACACACAGTGTAAAACTTCAAGAATGCCTAAAGAAACAATAAAGGAGAAAAATTATGAGTCGCTAGTTTACAGAATCAGTTCATTACCTTTTTTTTTTCTTTTTGTGCTTTTTCAGTTCAACTACCTAAAATTATGTGTTGCCTGTGTCTGGCACATTAGGAACCCTGGTGACGTACAGGCTCAGAAATTCAAGGGGCAGTTCTGCCTGTCCTATAGGGTTGCTATTAGTCAGCATTAACTCAGTGGCAGTGAATTTGGAGTTTGGTTTTGTTTAAGGTACAGTGGAAATTTGATCTGTAATATATGTTGTTTGGGAAAGAGAAGTGCTATCCAAAGATAATTAGCTCAGTCTAGTAAGAAAATTATGCACATAAAAAACAATGTTTAGCTGAGTACGCAAGTAAATCTATCTGGGAAAGGCATGAAATAAAGGAATGATTAAGGTAAGCCTGAAAGAATACAATCATGGAAATTTTCCAAACAATGTAGAGGGCAGGGTAGTAAAATTATGAGTGAAATCTTAAATAGAGAATAAGTTACCAGGAGCATCTGAAGCTCAAACTATGGTTCAGTGGACAAGTAAGCTAAGTCTAGCTCATGAAGCATCTTGTCACTAAAAATACATGCATACCAGGATGAATTCTAAGCCTATGGAGATCATCATGGTCTCACTGAGGTGTATGTTTGGGCTGGGTCCAGACCACGCAGCCACCTCCCCCAGCTCTCCTGAAAGATAGCCTGCTGGACTGTGCGGCTCTTTCCCCCTCCTCTCAAGGCCAGAGCTGGACTATGCAGTCCCTGCCTCCAGAGTTCCAAAAAGCTTATCTCTCCAGGCTGGGTCTGTATAGACCCTTCCCTCAGTGTTACAGGATGATTTACTCACGACCACATCCCGACTCAGACCCTGCAACTGCAGCACCAGAAGGTCTTCCTTCCCCTTATCAGTACATACACCCTTGGTTTAAGCTCTACATATGTCTCACTGCCTCACTGCCAGATGAGATTTCCCTGACCTTACTTGTTGGGTCTCGGAACTCGCCCGGGGGCTCAAGATGCCCCTGTCCTTCACTGCTATCCCTTCCCTCCCGGAAGTTCTTTCCCTGCCTCAATAAAATCTTTCCCAACTTCACAGTCCTGGCTAAATTCTATCTCTGTTCCGCATCTCCAACCTCTCAGTGTAGAGGAGACTATGTGTCGTAGTTTGCAAAACAAAAAAATATGCAAAATAATGCAAAAAACTACATTATACAAAAATAAGTAAGATTAACAATATTTTATATATGCAGCATCATAAAAGACAAAATGGAATATATCCTGCAAGTTTAAAAATAAATAAATATAAACATTATAATAAAAAAATTAATGATAATATGGAAAGTTAATTGTGTACGTCTATATCTATGTTTTCCTGGTTCATCAATAATGAGTAGAGGCCAAACATAGCATTAACCTCCCATTCAGAAAATATGCTCTCTGAGGGAGGCCACAGATTTGGGAAGGGCCTCACGAACCCTTGTCAAGCCTTCTGCCATTAGTGGCAGAACATCAAGACCGCCATTCATGAAGAAAGAAAAAGGTCATTAAAAAGAAAGGGAAGAATGAAAAGATCAAAATGGAAAGCAGAAGAGACTCAAACTTGCTTTTAATCAGAGAGTAACTAAAGAAGATGAAAGAAGTGATCATGTCAAAGGGAATAGAAAATTTCAAAGGGAAGCTTGAGAAAACAAAACCAAATATTATAATGAAGTGTGAAAAGACTAACGTTAGAAAACCAAAAGGGAACAATATGCTCAGCATATCGAAATTGAAAGAACTCAAGAAAAAAATTCATCTTGTGTCGCAATATTAAAAGATTATGGGCAAAATATTGATGATATAGGACAAATCAAGAAAAGTTGGAAAGAATAAACACATTTCACTGTACCAAATAGAGCTACATGACGTTCCACTATTTCAGGAGGTAGCATATGAGCAAGAACCAATGATGACAAAGGAAGTGCAAGCTCCATCGAATATATTAGCCAAAAACAAGGCTCTGGAAACTGATGGAATACTAGTTAAAACATTTCAATAAGCTAATGAAGCACTGGAAGCACTCACTCGTCTATGCCAGGAAATTTGGCGGATAGTTACTTGGCCAATTGACTGGAAGAGAATCATGTTTTTGCCTATGCCAAAGAAAGGTGACTCACAAGGATGCTCAAATGATAAAATAATGTAATTGACATCACATGTAAGTAAAATATTGATTCAGAAGAGGATGTGGACCAAGGGATATCATTGCTGATGTCATACGGACCTTAGCTGAAAGCAGAGAACAACAGAGATGCCTACTTGCGTTTTGATAACTACAGCTATACATTCAACTGTGCGGACCATAATATCATTTTATACTCCCTCTAACCAGGACATTCTAATGTGACACTTTCGTGAATAGTTAGTTTGAATTCCATTTTCCCAGAAACATGTGGAAGCCTTTTGGCGTGTCATAACAAGGAGATAATTGGAAAACATACCAGAAGAAGCTTCCAGTCTTTCCAATCTGCTGATCAACCAGTCAAGGGAGCTAGAAAACTGAGCACAGTTTTTACGATTTCCTCTAATTAGAGCCGCTGAAAAAGAAAAGAAAGGAAACTGAAAATAAACTGATTTCACAAGTATAGCATTTTCCTTCTACAGTCTAAAAATCATGTCAAGCTAATAAAAATTTAAAACTCAAACAAACTTATTGCATTTAGTTGATTTCAACTCATAGTGACCCTACAGGATAGAGTAAAACTGCCCCTTTGGGTTGCTGAGATTGTAAATCTTTTCAGGGGTAAATAGCCTCGTTTTTCTCCCATGGGAGAACTGGCAGGTTTGAACTGCTGACCTTGCGAATAGTAACCCAATGTATAACCAACTACATCACTATGACAGTATTCCTAAAATACTAGATCAAGAACACAATTTCTATTTTATATTTGAAACATAAAGAAATATATAGACATATACATATTCAAACAAATAGAAATTTATCAGTAGAAATTTTAAAATATTATTCAATAAAAGGAAACATAACTTCAGAAAGTAAAAATTACATAAGTAAGTAATGATAAAGGATAGGGGAAAATCCTGTGTCTTGGGTATTTCCTCACTTGTGTTCTAATATCTTATTGAATACTCAATCATTAATCATTCTAGGGCTTCATTTTCTCACTTGCATAGTAAACAAGCTGAAGCCCCTCAATTTTCCTGAAAGTGTACCACAAATTACTCTAGAACCACCAAATACTATTTATAGTATTATAAAATACTACTATGTTTTATCATATAATATTTAGTTAGTAAGCTATAACTAAATACTATGTTAAAAAAAAACAGAAATGGGAGGGCTGATGGACATAAAGCTCAGACAGCATTTCTTTACTTCTCATTTACAATGCATATTAGGCTCAGAAATGTTATGAATTTATTTAGTAAAGTGTAAAAAGCACTAGGTTATATAAAGTGATCCTAAAGGGCATGAAGGAATTTCATGGAAAGGAGCCCTGTTGGCATAAGGGGTGATGCACTGGGCTACCACCACATTCAAAACCACCAGCAACTCTGTGAGAGAAATGAGGCTTTCTATTCCTGTAAAGATTTACTGTCTTGAAAACTCCAAAGGGCTGTTATACTCTGTCCTATAGGGTAAGTATGAGGCAGAATCACTGTAGCAATGAATCGGAGATTTTTGTTTTGTATAGTGTAAAAGGCAGTACATTAAGCAAAGAATCCAGGAAATTCCTACATGACCTTTAGTATCATATTAGAGTCAATTTACAAGGTTCATTTGTATTTTGAAACAATAAGACATTTAAATAGAAAAAGATGAGATTATTACTAAATTGGAAAATAATGTGTTGTGTTTACAAAATGCCTCCACAAGATTTCCTGGAGACCAAGATAGGGAATTTTCATATTTATGAATACTGGAGTAACATGATATTGAGTAGATTCAAAGATAATGTCCTCCCCGCCATGTCTTAGCTACTTTCTCCCAGTATGCTTTGGCATTTAGAAAGACTTGTCACCCAAGGCACTTGAAAATTAGTCTGGGTGTATAAAACTCCCTAATTGCTATGCCTTTGCAAGCCTATGCACCCATTTGTCTTCAGTGATCCCTTCAACACCTCATGATCACACAGGCTGATATGTTGTTCCATGTGGGCTTTGTTGCTTCTGAGCTAGATGGCTACTTGTTTATCTTCAAGCTTTTAAGACCCCAGACACTGTGTCTTTTGATAGCTGGGCACCATCAGCTTTCTTCACCACATTTGCTTATTCACCGCTTTGTCTTCAGCGGTTGTGTTGGGAAGGTGAGCATTATAGAATGCCAATTTAATAGAAGAAAGTATTCTTGCATTGAGGGAGTACTTGAGTGGAGGCCCAATGTCCTTCTGCTACCTTAATACTAAACCTATAAATATAGGTTCATAGATCTATTTCCCCATCCTTATATAAATATATTTGCATGTGTACATGTATTTATCTAGACCTCTATAAATGCCCTTTGCCTCCCAGCTCTTTCCTCTATTTCCCTTGCATGATAGTGGGACAGGAGGACAATTACTTTTTTATATAAGTTCTTTTCTATACACATCTGATTGTCTCCCTAGATTTGTTTCTGTAATCTACCTGGACTAACACATAGGGTCTTAAAGGCTTGAAGTTAAACATGTGGCCATCTAGCAAAGAAACAACAAAGACCACATGGAAAAAGCACACCAGCCTGTGTGATCATTAGGTGTCCACAGAACCAGGTAACAGAGGTTCAAAAACAAGCAATCAAATTGATGTGAAAGAGCTTAGACAAAGTGGAGACCCCAAACCCACCTGTAAGATAGTTGGTCCGTCCCTCACAGAAGGGCCCCACAGAAAGGATGATATATCCGTCATGCATTATCGCACTGATGAAGCACATAACGATACTCTAGTTCTTTAATATTTCCTCCCCCTACTATTATGGTCTTGGTTTTAACTCATTAATCTTGTTAGATCTGTGTATGTTCATTTGTATAATTAAGATTGCTTGATGCTGAGGGTGGGGTGGAAAGGGGGAACCAATTACAAGGATCTACATATAACATCCTCCCTGGGGAATGGACAACAGAAAAGTGGGCGAAGGGAGACGTCGGAGAGTGTAAAATATGACAAAATAATAATAATTGATATAATATCAAGGATTCATGAGATAGGGGGGAGCAGGGAAGAAGGGAGAAAAATGAGGAGCTGATAGCAAGGGATCAAGTAGAAAGCAAATGTTTTGAGAATGATGATGGCAACAAATGTACAAATGTGCTTGACACAATGAATGTATGTATGGATTGTGATTAACAGTTGTACGAGCCCCCAATAAAATGATTAAGAAAATAAATTTAAAAATAAAAACAACAAAAAATGATTCTTTGATGCATGAAATCCACTATGGATAATCCCTTCAGAAACAGTTACACGAGTAATAATTACCTGAGGATATGGAAAGGTAGGGGATAAAAGGGGCGAAGGGGGAACTGAGAGCGATGATGACTTTATAACCCCACTCAGGGGGAATAAATAACAGAATTGTAGGTGAATGGATACATTGGATGGGGTAAGATATGACAAGTAATAATAATAATATATAATATAACAATGAGGGTTCCTCTAGAGTAAGGTGGAGGATGGAAGGGATAAAGGGGAGCTGATATCAAAGACTTCAAGAAGAAAGAATGTTTGAAACTGATGTGGTAGAAATTTCTTGATCTAATTGAATTATGGATTCTCACAATATCTGTAAGAACTCCCAATAAAATTATTTTAAAAAGAAATAGTTTTGCACCTTAAAAAGGTAATAGGTAGAAAGAAAGAGATGGGGCAGGCATGGTGCTATAATATACTGAAGGTCAGAATAAAAGGGGTATCTGTATACTGGGTTTTAGCGTATCAATCAAAGTTCATAAGACAATATCTGACCATTCACTGAGGACTAAAGTAATATTCATGGGAAGAAAGAGCAGAGGCAGAGATATTGATTAAAAATCATGCAGTTCCTAAGATATTTCATATCACAAATATTTACCCAATACTAGCTATGTGTCAGATGCTGACAATGATGTATTCACTTATGAGATATATGATATGGTACACAGAGGATTTTTGATGTTAGGTGTCATCAAGCCAGTGCCTACTCATAGCAACCCTATTAGAACAGAATGTGACCCTATTACAACAGTAGACTTGACAAATGGGATGACATCAAGATCATCATATAAGAAGAAAGCAAAAGATCATTAAAAAGACAATTAAGAAAGAAAAGGCCAAAGAGAGTGTCAGAATAGGCTCTGCAACTTGTTTTTTTCTAAAAATATTAACAGTTTTATGGATATATAATTCACATAACATACTAAAATGTATTAGTTATATAGCCATCACCAAAATTACTTTTCAAACATTTTCTTAATTCTTGTACATATTATTATTAGCTCCCCTCTCCTATCCAAAGTCTCCCCTGCAATAACCCTAAGAAACTATTAATCCAGTGTGTCTATAGGTTTACATATCCTAGATTTCATATAAATAAAAGCATACCAATAAAATAACAAAATAGAACAGAGTAAAACCTCAATTCAAAAGAAAGAAGAAAATAATAACACCTAGAACAAATATAAAATGAGTCAAAAGAACAAATAATAAGGCATTAAATTTTAACCTATCTACACATGAATTCATCTACTTTCCAATGAACTGTCTGGATAGCAAGGCCATTCAAATCCCCTCACCAAGTTTGGAAAGGATTCTCCAGATGTTTAACCCATGTGGTGACTCTGCAAATGAATTTTGGGCTTGCCCTGTCATTCATAGCCTTTTGTAAACCAGGTGCTCAGAATTTAAGCTTTAATACAGTTGTCTCATCTGATCTTGGATTTTAGTACAGTCATTGACTCACACAGACTGGTGTGTTTCCTCTATATAGACTTAGCAGACATCTCACTTAGATGGCTGCTTGTTGTGAGACAAGTCTTTACAGCCCTAGATGTTATTCTTTCTGACAGTTGGGCATCCTCTGATTTTATCACCAAACTTTGCTATAGCACCCATATTGTCAGTGATCTCTTTATGAAGGCAAATATTGAGTAGGGACACATCATAAGAACTAATTTGCAACTTTCTCTTGATTATAAAGTAGGCAAAACACATAGAAGAAATGATTAAGTAAAAATAACTAAGCAGAAATTTTCAAAAGTACAAGAAGAAAGGATATGTCTGAGTAATACAATAGAAAACAGTCTGCCTGGAAAAGCTTTTAAAAAACACCCTATTCTTTCCATTTCCAGAGCACCAAAAGTCAGTATCTGCAATAATCACGATCCAATGTCTTCTTATCAGGTAATCTTAATTTTTCGTTGAAATAACCAAACGCTTTCTAATAAGATTTCTTCCTAAAACATAGCTCAAAAGAAAAGACACCAAAATCAAACAGAGATTGAAAACTAAAGTTTTACTATGTTAAAAAGGAAGAGGGCCAATGTCCACCTGCCACCCTACTACCAAACCAATAATTAATGCATCTAGGTCCGTTCCCCCCTTAATCTTAAATATATTTATATAT